GCATTTCATAAAAGAAGCATACTTAACAGAGCTCAAAAAAATCATTTTTTTGGTCAGGACAGAAACAAAGTCCAGACAGACACATGCAGTAGGAATGAAAAGTAGTTTGTGATGCTCCTCCAGCAGTCTTGGAGGCTGACTGGTTGAACTAAAGCAGCTGAACTAGTTCATCTGAGGCCACGAACATAAGCAGTTAATTCAGACGTCCTCAGATGTATTCACGCCCTCACATTAAAGAAGGAAAAAAAAACAGCTGTCACTGAAATAAGTTGACAAAAGTACTAATAAATAAAAATGTAATGAAAATCATGACGTTGCTTTTGAATTGTGGTTCAACAGAAACATAAAAAATAGAAAAAGAAAAAGCAAACAAGCACAATGGGACCCGTAAACTTATATTCTGTTGAACAACCCTTTGAGCCAATCGCTGCAGTGCTCTAATTTATCCGGAACAGTTTTTTTTTTAATTTATTTATTTTTTTATTATTCTTTTCAACCACAATTCAAAAGCAATGTCTTATTTCACTAAAATATAATTTAGCAAATTTTTATTTATTATTACTTTTTTCTATTTATTTGAGTGACTATTGTGAATTTTGCCTTTTCTTTAATGGAAGCTTATGAATACGTTGGAGGACGACTGTAAAAGAAGTGCTTTAAACCTGCAACTTTAAAATGTCCAGCAGGGGGCGACTCCACTGGCTGTAAAAAAATAAAATAAAAACAAGCGTTACTATATAGATAGACAGAGAATGACCATACTTTTCCATGATGTTATTTTTTTTTTTACGTCAGTCAACATTTTTCAAATTGGTTTTCGGGTTCAGTTTGGAGTTTCAAGACTTTCTGAAAACACCTCGCTGTTTATTTTGTAGATTTTGTTCTTTTTAATACGACTACCACTGTATCTATCAAAGTTTTGTTCAGTTATTTCCTGTTTTATTTTGTAAAAACCCCTGTCCTTGTGTGTCTTTTATTGTTTTACTTCCTTCTTTTGATTCCTCTTTTGATTGTCCTCATCAGTTTCCCTTGTTTCTACTGTGTCCTTGTCTTTTGTCAGTTCCTCCTGTTTGCTACCCTCCTGTACTGCCTCCTGAATTACCTGTAAATTGACCATCTATCTCACAACCCTCTTCACTGACCTTGTGTCCGTCTGCATGAGTTCTTGGTCGTGTTCCTTGTCCGATCCTGGTTTGTAAATTTGGTTTTTAAAATCCTTTTATTTCCTCAAACAATTTGTGTTTTTTGCACATTTTTGATTTTCTTTTTTTTTGTATTCTGTTTTCTTGGGATTACTTTTTCTTCATATTCTCTTTCTGATGTCTTTTGTTGTTCTTTACCAGCCTGTGTTTTACCTTCTGGGCATTACAATAAAGTTTTTTTTTTGTTACTTTCTCTTGCCTGCCTCATGTGTCAGACTTAAGGCTTCAGAACGGTGGTGTGCAATCCACTGGGTGACACAAAGGTCGCTACAGTCATCTTTTATATAAAGTCTGTGATGACAGAACTTATTCATCATTCCCGAGATATCATTTTGTTATCTGGCTTTACTAGGCCAAGTGAGAGCAGTCACGCAAAGCAGATTATCAACTCGTAAAGTCAACCCGGTGGACACATAAAGGTGTTGTGTTGGCGTCATTAAGGCCCAAGTAGATCTGATCTTAATCGCAATTGTGAAATACAGTAAATGACTTCTAGGTCATCTGCTATGACTAATAACCCATTTCCCAAGATAGTCAGTTGGTTATATAGTTCACTGGTGCTTTTGTTTTGATCCATTATCTTGAACATAATCTGCTCCTGGGCAGGTTAGTGGTGCCTCATAAGTTAATACTACTGCTGAGCCTTAAGGTACTTTGCTTATCCCAAACCCAGTGCAGTGCAGGGCTTTAGTGTGTTGAGCTGCAGGTGGAGAGAGAGCTGGGAATTCATAGATGTGCACATTACAGAGGAAGCAACACTTATAAGTCATTTTAAGGCAGAAGGTGATTGTTTTTGTGGGAAAGAAAAAATCTAAACATGTAATTTTGATACATGGAGATGAATGTTTAGGGGTTTAATCGGTGACCAGAATTTTAGCATGTTATCTGGGCCAGGAACCATGCCTGTGTCCTTAAACGCTGCAGTTTAAATGTGCTTCAGCTGTTTTCTCCACAGTAATGGGTTTAGACTGAACTCCTGTAGAGATCGCAGTTTCTGAGGTTTAACCTAAATCTGCTGCAGACGCAGTAAAAAAAAAAAAGTGTAGCAGAGCATGAGCTTGTTTCATTTATAATTCCAGGAACAGGCTACCAGGGCTGCAAGGTGGAGCAGTGGTTAGCGTCGGTGCCTCACAGCTAGAAGGTCGTCGGTTCACGTCTCAGTGATGACACTGGGATCTTTCTGCGTGGAGT